GCGCGGGCTTGGCACCTCGGCTCACGGCAACTGCAGCAAAGCCACGTTTGTGTATTCCTTTTTTGCGTAAAAAAAAAAAAAAAAAAAAATCCGAGTCGAGTCGGTGATTCGTGTGAATTCTGCCGAATATCATTCTGTTTTGGGGTCTGGTCCGTTTTGGCGAACAAAAGCTGCCTTTTTGCGGAGAGAATATGAGAAAAGTGGCTAATGTATAATACGGTGCGCGCGAATGTTTGCGTACATTCGCTGGGGAGAAGGTCGAAAGCGATCTGGAATGCAACTCGCACTCACCGACAGTCCTCGTATACGTGTTTAAATGGAGCCGAAAGAAAAAAGTGCTTTGCCGAACGTCGAAAAGGAGTTTGGTGCTGCGCTGCAACTAGCCGCAAGTGCTATGGTGTCGCTCGCTTGGCCCGGCGTTGCGGGGGTAATTTGCTCTTTCTCTTCTTTTCTTGGCAACGCGCGGGTACACAACGCGGCGACGACAACGCAATCCGCATAAGCTCCTCCCTCTTTCCCCTTGGCACGTAGTGCTACGTGTAGAGCACGTATTATGTACGACGGCTTATACCTGTGTGTGTGTGTGTGTGCATTAGCCGCAATATAGGTATGAGAACTGCGCAAAAGCGAGCTCGGCCGAGAGTCGCTCGATACTCGAATATTTCGTACATGCAGCATACGTAGGAGAAACGAGAGAGAAAGAGAGTCGGAGCCGAGAGCGCAGAAAATTTTCTCTGCGTCTCTAAACTTTTTTCTGCTGCACCCGTATCTGGATATCGCAGACTCGAGCTGCAGTACATGCGCTCGCGAGATCGCCGCTGCACGATCGCTTCGAATAAAAAGAGCATAGACCAGCTCGAGGCTGTTATTTACTCCGATGATGATTGTATATATAGGTACATGTTGGGACACTCGCTCGCTGGCACACATCGTACACACAAACGTATTACATGCAGAGAGAGAGAGAGACTAGGCTCTCTCAGTCGCTCGGCACGTTGTAATAACCGGGCAATTAGCTCGAGCTTCGTAATGACTGGTGCAGTGTATAGCTGCAGCTACTGCACAGCGCAATGGACGCGCTCTATTTGCTCTCGGCGCCATCTTTGCGATACGCTGCAGCCGCAGCCACGCGCTCGTCCTATTATGTATGATGTGTGTGGCAGCTCCTGCTCTTTGTGTTTGCTCGCGTCGATGATACCGCATCTATATGGGCACGAGTGTCAATATATACACGACCGATTCTCGTTCGTCCTGACCACCGCCACCAGCTTTTATCGTCGACCAATCGTTATTTTTCATTTTATTGCCTCGCGCTCGCATTCAGGCTCTGCCAATGCAACGTATACGAAATAAACGTGCAGTCGCTATCGTCGATGCTCATCGATTCCGGCCCATTATGCATACACGGCGTAATTTGACGAGCGGCTGTGTCGATACGAGCTGCAATTACCATACGTCGAGCCGTTGGTCCTCTTCGTCGTCGCCTAAACCTATCTTCGAATCAATCTACCTCATTAATAAATGTACCCGTCTACACCGGAGTACTAATTACGAAGCATCATAACAACAACAACAACAACGACGACGACGACGACGAGCTTTTACAAGCAAATTCGAGCTTTATAAACGAAAATTTTCACAAATATTCGCATCTAGCATAGTCGCGTGCGTGGGTGTGTGTGTGTGCACGCGTGAAACTTTTCAGCGCGCGGTGGCGGCTGCGTGTTATGGTGATGCGCGCACACGTGAAGCCGCCACCGCCTCGCGTGCCTCGCTCGACTTTATAAGCACGATAGGATTCTTATATCGTTAGCGCTTTTGACATCGATGTTAACAGCTCCTATGTATATTACGGGAGCTTCCATCATCGCGCGCGCACCGACTCTACATACGCCTCGCTCATCGCCGTCAATTTGTCTTGCTTTGCTATAGAGACGATACAAAGCCGTGCGGGCTTCGAATAATAATCTATTCCATTTGGAAAATTCTACGACGTGCGTTACACGTTCGAGCGCTTGTATTTATCAAGCGACGCACACGTGTCTGCACCGTTGCATCAAAATACATATTACCTTTGAAATTCAACTATGCAGTTGTACATAAAGTTTACGTAATCCGAAATGATGCACACGTAAGCCAAGTAGCTTCGTCAAACGGATGCAATTGGAGAGACTCGAGCAAAGGCGAGCTCGAATTTTCTTGGAAAATTGTCGAAGACGTATGCGCTATTGTTCTTAAGGCTGCTCGGCAGATATAATATAATATGGCATATTGTGTGAGTGGGTTGTATGCAGCTCTTATGTACTTGGCCAGCTCTACAAGAGCTCCGCAGGCGTCTCTTACTCTATGCCGCACTTATTGCAGCGTCAATTTTCCAAGGAACGAGTTTCCAGCGGCACGTATCGACGCAAGACCTTATTACAAGCCGAGTTACATGTATATTTTTTTTCTCTACTCTACTCTACTCTACTCTACTCTTCTCGCTTGTCGAAAGGAGAGCTGCATTTTTCAACACACAATCGTAGAAACGATTATCGTGTAGACGCTCGTGCGATATGAGCCTTTTATAGAAGGCAATGATCGGCAGGCGTTGTTATTATACGAGGGCCGAATTTGTGCGCGAAGCTTTATTGCAATCGCAGCTAAAAAAAAGGTCGAGATGAGGAGCGCGAAAAGAGAAGTGGATCAGAGAAAGAGAGAGATTATAAAGGCAGCGAAATTTAGCAGAATTCTCGAGTTGTAGCAGCGTTGGAGCATGCGACGGCTCCTTTGACGCGCTGATCAGGCTGTAATAATAACGAGGCGGAATTAGTCAAAGACAGAGGCAGAGCGCGAGAGAGCTCGTTCATCATATATAGACAGGCGCGTCTGCCGCTGACCTTTTCCGCTCTTGTTTTGAATTGCTTATTATATCGCCGCATCTCAATTGCCTCGTGTAGGCTTCGGACTCGCCTCGACACTATTTTCGCTATACATGACATGATACCCGCTTGCAGTAGCTCGGCAAGTATGAGCGATGCGCCTGATAAATGCAAACTCGGCCCATCAACGCGCCTAATATGCAATTATTTCGGGCGTTTGAATTACAGTATCAGAGTGTGCGCTTGTCGCGAGAGATAGCAGCTAAAAGGCTGGCTCCGCTCGATAAATCATTCTCGGAGCTCTCCGGCGCATCGCGAGTACGCAGCTGTGCTGTACGCGCACGTCGCCTATTAACACCTCGAGTCGTGGAGTACGTATACGCGTGCCGATCTTACGTGTATATAAAAGCGACTCGGAGGAGCAAAAAAAAAAATTAATACTCGGGGATATAAATCGATAAAGCCGAGGGAATCCGAGCCATATCGCAGCCGCGAGTATCATGCAAATGCGACGTTTCCGCTCTGTGCGAGCCGCGGCCTGCCTCCCAACAAATGATTATATTGGCCCGATGAATATCTCTCTCTCTCTCTCTCTGCGGAGCGTCGCATCTGCCTGAGCAGTGCACGCGCATTTGGGACTTTGATGCGCTTTTGCTCGTATGTATAGGCATTACCTGGGCTACTGACAACGCCGCTTCTGATGCCGATCGTCGCTTTTGATACAGCCACCTTTCAAATGTACATATTACGTATACATAGGTACGCGTGCCTGCTCGTATATATATTTGATGCACAAAAGTATGCGCGCCGCAGATGTGTGTCCGTTTGAATTGCTCTTGTATGTACGTATGCGCACTCGCGAGCTCACAATAACGATTATGTTGTCGTAACGATTTTATGCGAGCGTCCGTGAAAAAAGTCCATTCACCCTATATGCACTCGCGATCCGAATATAGTTTTGACGCGTTTCGCGTCTAAAGATGGTCACTCGCCGCCTACCCGACAGATACATTTATATGAGCTGCTCGTTATTCTCCATTCCAATTGTATTTGTATATTTTAGTTTAAACAATTATTTAGCAACAAATTCGACCCATTTTCAACATTTCTACTGCTAGTTAGCGAACCACACTAGAAAGAGAAAAAGTAGCTGTATAAAAAATGTAGAGAATTTAATTAAGTTTTCAACGAGATATCGATGGACCCGATCGAATTATTATAGTTTCCGAGAAAAATAAAAACCGCTGCCAATTTATTGGCAAAGAGCTTCCTCATAAAAAATAATATTAATAAAAGGCATCGGTTATTAACGTGAAAATTTGTATTTTTAAATTTTGATTCGCTGTCTAGAGTCCTAACTACCAGTAGATCACGACCATCCGGACCATCATGTTAGCATACATTTCTATGTTAGCCAAAAGGCCGAGAAAACAAAAACTCATACAGACATTTGTTGGTAATTCAATGTAGTTTCCAAATATGTAAACCAAATTGTCCTACGACGTCTGGTTCAAAATCTCGTTTTGGAGCCTATCACAGAGCTCCCTCTATGAGGAAGCAAAATAACCGCAAGCGATGTAATAAATCGGATGGATTGCTTAAAGATGCAATGGTTGAGCTTTTGAAAAGTTTGCCGGGTAAACGCAACTTCTCGCCATACACCAGCTCGCTGAAAGTTGATGATATGTCTTTCTCAAAAGCTGATCGGATGCCAAGAAGAACCAACGGAAGAGCTTCGAGCCAATTATCGTTGTGATGAGCCATGAGAGAAGCTTTCAGATGTTGGTGAAAAACTTCGACTATTCCGTTGCTTTGTGGATGCCAACTGTTCGTATGTCGATACTTGATGCCGAAAAGCTTCGCAAAATCTGTAAACATGTGAGATGTAAATTGACCTCCTCTATCTGTTGTCAAAATATCCGGATATCCGACACATTCACGATTTTGTCAACAATATCGTCGGAAAAGTGTGAGGCTGCCAAAATAGATTTATCTGCTGACAATGAAACCAATATCAAAATCAATGGGGTTACTTTGGATGTATCCAGAACAGATTTTGAGAATATTTGTTCACACCTTTTTAAAAAAATTCAAAATTACCTAAGTGAAACATTGGAACGAGCAAAACAAAAAGTAAAAATGGATAAAAGTCACATTCAGAAAGTAATTTTAGTTGGTGGTTCATCAAGGATTGCGAAAATTAATACCATTCTTCAGAACACTTTCCCAGATATTTCATTATGCAAGGATATCGACTATGATAAGGCGATAACAAAGAGTGCAGCAATATACGCTAATATTCTGTTAAATACTGAAATTGAGTCACCACTTTTCATCGAAGATATTACCCCGTTTCCATTGGGAGTAAGAACTTTTAAGAATGAAGAAAATCACACTTTTAGCGTAGTCCTACAACAATATTCGATCATTCCTTGTTCACACACCCGGATGTTTACTACTGCTAAAGATAATGCTACTACAGTCTATATTGAGATTTATGAAGGAGAATCCAAAATAGCAGAAGATAATCAATTTCTAGGTTAATTCGAATTGACAAAAATCGAAAGAGCCAAAAAAGGTGAACCATCTATAGAAGTAAAATTTAGTATTGATAAAGAAGGAATTTTGAAAGTTTATGTTGTAGATGAAGCTACCAAATCAAAAAAGGAGTTAACAATTCAACAAAAATATTCAAATAATCCTGAAATATCCAAAGGTTTTACGATTTTCCCGCAAGAAAAGGTCGTGGTTTTTCTGTTGATACATCGCAATAAATAGATTTCATCGATCCAGGGAGCTTGATCAAATTTGATTTGAGAGATGAATCAGCGTTGTCAAGAAAAGAACGTAATGCTCCATCGTTAATTTGCGAATCAGCAAGAGCCTCAAAATTTAGTGATGAATGATCAAGAGACAACGCTTCGATGCGAGAGAAAGCGTCGGCCACGACATTTTTCGATCCTTCAATTATTCGATATCAGTTGTGAATTGGGAAATGAACGACCTGATACGGTACAAGCAAAGAGTATCAACAAATCTGACACCTATATAAGGAGCAGAATCACCCGTGTAGCCATTAGTCTTGTGTTATTTCGTAATAATGAAAGTTGACAAGGCAACGAACACTCAAACGCACGACGTCGTGGTGCAGGCTCAAGGTCCAGCTGAGTTGGCGCAGAGAGCGTGGATCGTGGATAAGTCACCCTTACCACTAGGTCCTCGTGGCCTCATCGTCAAGACGAAGCCGAGGTTGATAGCAAATAAATGCCGTGGGAAAAAAATGCCAGGTGGCAAAGCTACTCAGACGGAGAAGCCAACGACGTCTGAGGCGGCGATCCAAGTAAGGAGAGAAGAGTTGTACCCGTTGATGGGCCCGCAGATCTACCCGCCAAGCCCGATGGACTCGAGTGACGACGAATTTTTCTTTGTATTGCCGGAGGACTACCTGCCGCCAAGAAAGGGAATTCGGTCAGCGGGATTTAAGGAACAGCTGAGCAAAGAATTTGAAGAGATGTGGTAAGGAGAAGCGGAAGAAGATCAAGCAAGATNTTTTTGTTTTTTTTTTTTTTTTATTGTTATGTTTAGGCGAGAAATGGGCGAGGAGATCTGTGGCAGCATGCGACGAGGGCAGTGATGTGCGAAATTTTTTTTGTAATTTCTTTCTCTTTCACTCTTTCAAAGTAATTTTTAGTAATTTCATACGCCATAAATTGTAATATTTTTTTTTCTTTCTTTTTGGGTTTTTGTGATAATAACTTTAGTTATTCTGGGGCTTTATTTGCAACCGCAGAAAAACTATATTTTTTTTTATATAGAGTCACTGATCATAACGTTATATGCATTGTTGTGATATAAAACCGCTGCCAATTTATTGGCAAAGAGCTTCCTCATAAACAATAATATTAACAAAAGGCATCGGTTATTAACGTGAAAATTCGTATTTTTAAATTTTGATTTACTGTCTAGTGTCCTAAGTACCAGTAGATCACGACCATCAGGACCACTTTTTGACTGCTCTGCTTCCATTCTACCGTAAAAAATATAAAAATTTCTTCATTTATACATGAAAAAAATCGAAAAAAAATTTTTTTTCAAAAAAAACAATTTTTCATCCCGATACAATGAAGCATAACTCTTTAACTACTCGGTAGATCCTAAAATAAGTTTTTGACGCTTCTTACGACACACAAATCCTTCAAAACGAGCCGGACAACTTCGCGCTGCGTGTCTCTGTTCAAAAGTTACACTGGTTCCAGACCACCAGACGTACACACACACACACACACACACACACACAC